GTCTTATATTAAATCCTTCCAAATGTCAGGTGCTTGACTTTACTTTCAAGCATCGACGTGACTTACTTGAACTAGTTAACTCGCATGATCCCTGTAGCATAGATGGTACGGAAATTGAAACCAAATCAAGCATTAAATACCTTGGATTAGTTTTTTCCTCTGACCTTTCATGGTCATCCCATTTCTTATCTATCTCTAAGAAAATGTTTCGTCTTACCTTCTACATTAAAAAGTTAAGACAATCAGGTATCAACCAACCTTTAGTTTTGCAATTTTTAAACTCCTGTATTTTACCTATTGTACTCTACTGCTCTCCATTAATATTTCCTGGGCTGCTCAAAAAAGATTATATCATATTACGTAGAGTATTAAATGCTGTGAGTAGAGCTTGTGGTCTGCCACCGCACGAGCTCGCTAATACTATAGTCGAGAGGCATGTAAATTCCTGTACGAAATGGGCAAAGGCTATAATGTCAGACCCTCTGCACCCCCTTTATTCACACCTGTCCCCTTGTATCTCATCAGGTAGGACGAGAAATCAATATAAAAAGATATATGCTCGTACTACTAAGTATAGAAATTCTACAATACCCTATTTAGCGCGTACTTTATGTGACGAAGACTCCGTTAGACGTGAAACTTACAAGTGACTATGTAATTAGCACAGTGAATCGACCCTTTTATCGTTTCATCTTTCTGTATTTTATGGTGTCACACTTTCTATCGTTTAAATCGTTACTCTGCTATTTTATTTTTAGTTGGTATTACTATTATTACTACAATTTTGTACTTTATACACATTTTTCTCCGTATGGCACACAGTATTTTGCTATGTAGCTGCTATAACAATCGTTTTATTACTATTATGTAATGGGTATTTTTAATTCTTTTTGTCGTTTTTGAGTAAATTAGATGCAATATTGTACTGAAATGCTGAAATTCCTTGCTGTATCATGAGTACTGTTTTTGCAATAAAGCTATTATTATTATTATTAATTTTGCTTTACGAGTTCGTCTTCTACATACAGCTGAAGCAATAGGAATCCACCTGAAGAAGTCAAACTTGTGTGTTCAGAAGAAATTTGTACAGCCACTTTCCTTACCTTGGCCATCGTTACATGACTGTATAAACCGGACTACTCCATCACCCTCCCCCTAGAATAATTTTTCTTTTTTAGAAAAACTATAATTGTCCAAATTATTTTATTTTTCCGACTACTTCATCTTTAATTACGTGTTATCCTTGAAAAAATTATTTTATTCTTATGATCACTTCAACTTTAGTTACAAATTATCATTGTCCAAATTGTTTTATTTTCTTTAACAATCTGTTACGTAATCAACCTGTGCACACGCTTATTCCTTAATTGCTCTTCATTTTTCCAAAATTATGCATTATGCAATCCACGTGTTGTAACCATTTCCACCTTTTAATTATATATATTAATTTTTCTTCGTTAATTATCACCCCATTGACATTTTGACACCGACTAATTATTGTTAACAAACATATCGCCACTTGATTGGTAAATTGTTGTGTATTGTAATTAAAATGCTATATATATATTAGAGTAGAGCCAGAGATGAGGATCTAATTGAAAAGTAAATATTTCTTCGCTCAATCTTTCTCTTTTCTAAATGTCTAAATAGGGATATTTTCTATAATAAAATAATTGATTGTAAACATCAGTATGTAAGATAAAGACCTCAGTTCAGTCGTGAAATACTTTTCCATAGGCATCAGAAATATTTATATACTATCTACAGTAGGTGATTATCTCTCAGTAAATAAAGGCAACATAATGAGTACATTTGTTTACTGTTGACATTCAGGAAAGTGATGTAGAGGAAAGCTAAAACTAAGGGAATTAGTAGATAGTTAGAATAGTTTCTAAATTCTCATTTGCTTATTTAGAAAACAGACAACAGACTGGGTGAAGAAATATATTTCTTTTCAATTGGTTATAAAAATAGTGGATAACAGCACTAAGACCTTACAGTGCTGGCTGATATCTTCTGCTTCACTGAACAGTAATTAGATTGATTCAGCTAATTACAGTTATTCTGATGTATATATATATATAATGATGTGTAGTTATTTCACACATGATTACTCAACATCTACTTCTATCCGACTACAACTATTAGTTCAGTATACGAAACATTTCACTACGTAAAACATGTGCAGGAGAAACATTGAACTGCTAATATTTCAACTCTCTGATTGTCAGAATTGTATTCAGTCCGGGAGAATTAATGTCTTTCTGTACTGATGTCTAATATTTGTTCTTATTATTTTTGCATTAAGTATAAAGTAAAAGTTTGGTTCTAATTAACGAAATGTATGTTTCGATCCAATTAGCTAATGAACTCATTCTTTTTATTTTCTCTCTGAAGGTTACTGAATGTTTTCTTTTCTAAGCGAATCATTTGTCATCAGACATTCACGAGTTATCCTTGTAATCTTTTGATTGTGAACAGTAAACAGAGTTTCAAATGTCAAACAGATTATTAGACTGTATCATTGCGTGATATTATCTAAGAAAAAAGTATATGTTATGCACTTGTTTCTCATTTGTAGGTGGCAAGACAGATATGGCGAGTAATAACCTCTGGGTTTAGATCAGGCATAATGTGAGGAACAAAAGTATCTCGCATAAGGTGAAAATACGTTTACAGGATAAATTACCTGTGCTATCTGGGAGAAAGCGCCATAGTCCTTCGCTAGCAGAAATAAATCAAGATATTTAAACTGTGATTTATGTTTAAACTCCTTTTTTATGTTTCCTCCCTTTTTTTAAATTTGTTTATGACAAAAAGACAGGGCTACATTTCATCCATTTGGATTAAAAATTTACTTTCTCAATGACTGCCACTAAAATATAAAACGGAATATTTATCTCGTTGCAGTTGTGTCCTCTGAACTGGATGGTTTCATCGCAAAGATTTCACTGTTTTTCTAAACATCTTCTCGACTAACTTCAAATGATTGTTTGATATGAACACTGTGTAGCCGTCCAGAGCAGAATGGTTCCCAGATAACTTTAGTCACCTTCTCTGAATTGTTCACCTGTTAACGTACCTTCGAAAAACTGACTAGCAGCTATCAAGTCTTCACTTGTGTCCATTAAAATTAACTTTTTACCATTTCCTACAATGTCATGATGTTAGGTTTTGGAGTTTATAATGCTCTGATATTCAAAAAACTGTTTTTGTATTCTGTTATCAACTACTCATCAGTGTGTTTTTCAGTTTCACGTGGAGATAAAGTTCTTAATTCTTATGTTTAAACGTGAACTGCAGCCTTGTCTTTGGGTGTTAGGGGAAAATTTAACCTATATCAAACATTCATACATAGACACAGAAAGTGTTCAGCTACCTTTGTTTTAAAATTGATGATGAATACCAATGTCCAAACTAACTCACTAGAATAAGGAATATGAAAAATACGTGAAGGACAGTGCTTATAAACCTAAACGTGGACTATCCAAAGTAGACAAGTTGTAGATTCTAAAGTATAGATAGTAAGGATAACATTTGCAACATGGAGCAATCGATTCTGAAGCATTCGATGATTTCGAGCATCTTGAACATTATAATCAATGGTTGCAAGTATTTAAAGAAAGTCCATTATCACATCGATAATTAACACTGTCGTGAATACAACTAATAGTCACTTGTGGTATATCTAGCTTCAATTGGACGTCACTTCTGCAATATCGATTTTCAAGTGCAAAGACATATGTGCCGAAAAAACCGCAGATGATTTTTATTCAGCTAAATAATGTCACTTTGACTTTTGTCACGGCGAGATCATATAATCGCATCATAATAACATGTAAAAAGTAGTGAAAAGGCTGAAAAGCTACTCGCTGAGCAGTGGTGAGTCCGCCTTTTCTCGTTCGCGTATAGCTAAGATGACACTGAGGGGATATTTTTCCATGTGACACAGCTAAATCCTCTGTTTAAGATGAATGAACCATTTTATGATATATGAATTTTCGTCAGAAATACAGCATAATTCCTCTCATTCTAATGTTTGTGTGATGTGAAATTTCAAGTTATCAAACCTTTACTATCCATCTTGTTCATTTCTGACAAGTCTCATTAATGTAAGAGTAGGATTCGGGCTTTGCGGTAGATGAATGTATTCCATATATTAAAATCAATAAAGTCTTACTTACCGCAGGGCGTTTCAAACACAGCCACTTAAGTCATATGGCTTTTTAACTCGCCTTATATAATTCCATCCATTTCTCCTATGAAGGGGTGAAATCTTCCGCAAATTAAGGACTGTTGAATTATTCCTGTCTAACGTACTGGCCACTGAATCAACAAACATAGATTCCGTGACTAATCTCTTTCCATGACTGTATTATTTTTTAAGCTGCAGCAATGTACCATTTCTTTGATTGAACATGTATACATGCACGCATTTCCGTGGTGATTTGGATGAGTTATTGTTTAATTTTCTGATTTTAGTGCTGAGTAACGCATGTTACAAACACGGATCTGTTTTCATAATGAATGCGACTAGCGTGAAACATGATTTCTTCTTACGGCACAATACAGTGTTCAGCAATGACTTCTCATCCAGCATGGTGACTTCTTAACTTTTGATAAGGCAGCTTCACTGAAGTAGTCGATTTGCGAATATAAATATCTACCTACAACAATACGCGTGTATCACACTACTATATGGTTTATTTTGATTGTATTAGCTTGTGATTTTGTTTGAATGTTTTTTGCGCAAGATAAAAAAAACACTGTCAAGGTAACTATTTTATCTCTACAAGTTTCCTCGTAAGACTTTTAGTGGAATTATAGATATGAACACCTAACTGTCGGCGGAATGAATTTGAAGCGGAGCACTGTATTATCCTGCATCAGGCAATAACGTCTAAAAACATTTTTTAGAGTATTTCAAACATATTCTGTGAACAATCCAACCATCTGAATTCAATTGCTTGTGATGGGAATAAAATCAATTGAAGACTTACTTCTCCCAGTGTAGCATACTCCATAATTAACCAAATGGGTTCATCTGAGCACACACCAAATAATTTTATGATATGCGGATGGTCGAATTCTCCAAGTATATCTGATTTAAGCAAACAGGACCGTAAACACAAGAAGATATGCATCAGAACAAGGGAAACGAATTGACATGTGATGGTAATAAACATCTACTATAAGAAAAGTTACCTGACATGGTACAATTCACTTACATCTAAGACAATTATAAAAAGATGTATTCAAAGAAAATATTACATATAATTACACTACCTTAAAATAAGCATGCTGTTAGCAGGTTCAGAATTTACAGTGACGTCATATGCGTCAGTTCTAACTAATATGATTAAAGTCAATCTATGTCGTGGTTTTATTTTGCAAAGAATAAAAACCAATCCCTACTCCTAAGGTCTCAGTTGGATAACTGTAGTAATGTCAAAGTGAAATCAAAATTAAAAGTCTTAATTACACTCTCTTGCTTTAATTAAAGGTATAACAGGAAACTTATAAAGAGTGAAGTATTGGCCTTTATTTTTCTATCATCAGGTTCAAAGATCCAGGCTGTTGCAAGTTCCTTGCCTAGATCTCTTTACAAAAGCCTGAAGATGGTGTAGAGATACAGGGTTGTTTCACAGACCATTAGACAAAAAGGTCATCCACGGCTCACTTTTACTTTATCTATTATCATTAGTGTTCGCTGGGTTCAAAACCCGATATGTGCTTTCTGATGAACAACCCCAAATGGGGATGTAACTACCGTCCAGTTTTCTTTGGTTTTACAATGGCTTTATAACTGGTTTCTACTCATGATCATCAGAATGCTTCAAATGATTTACTGTACCACTTGAGACATTAACGCCACAGAAACAACAGAGAGTTAATGAAAAAGCTTCCGAGGCATTTAATAACTTTATTTCCATTGAAAAAGTGTTTCATCGCTTTTCTTTCGAGTGGAACATATGGCGCAGACTTGAAGTTTCAGTACCGGCAGTTATTGTTTTATGGGATAGGATTGCTAACCTTCCACCAAATATTTCCTCTTTTCCCGGCTTAAAGGCAACTAGGCAAGTTTTAACGGCTCATCTGTGAGAGACTGAACATCCGTATGGCAACAAACCAAGGCGGTAAATACTCTGATGAACAGTGAACGGTTGCTTAACGTGGTAAAGTTATATTCTGTTTCTTTATCTAACAGTGTATTCGTAACTGTTGACAAATAAATTCAGTGTTTCTGTTAGTATACAGATTGACTTTTCTATCGCAGAATACATTTTGAAGGTAGATTAATGGTGATGACTGAAACATACTTGATATCTCTATTTAAAGATTTTTAAGATGTTTGAATGTTGTTCAACTAATAAACTGATTTTGAAGCACGCAGTGCTGCCAAGGGAATGTTGCTGTATTCTATGGCCGAATAAACAGTTGTGTAGAGCCTTACCATTTATTGTTCTCTTCAGCAAACAACCTATCTTCAGTTAAATCAAATTAACTGCAATTAAACATCATTAATCGAATGATAGATTTTCTAGAGCTTTTGAAATTTTAACTCAATTTTCCAAATCATTTTATTGTTTAGAATAACAAAGTTATATGAAAGCCGATGGTATAATGATAGAGATAGTGAACATAGCAGGAGAAAGAGAAGTTTTACAACAGCGCAACAAGCTTGGTTGTATGAAACAACTGACACAATGTTGCTATTCTGCATGTTTAGCAATCCAGTTGGAAGATTTCGGCAGAAATTGAAACTATACTAAGTAAATTATTGCAGTTATACCAGTCCCAGGGACCAAAGATATACTAGGAACTACTTTTCAAAGCAGTTAAAAGTTGGTTGGTCACAAACGGCTTTGCAATGTTGCTGTTGTAAGTTCCTGTTTGACTGAATAGATTCATGCGTCTATAAATATCTTGCTTTCCATATCACTGAATACGTGCTGAAAACGCTGAATGTTGTATCCATTTTCGACGTCTGTTGTTAGAACTCAGTTACTTTTAGCAGAATTCTCATGTACAAGGCTAAGAGCCACACTTGTTGTGTGAGGGCTGGAGTTATTACCTAGTAATATAGGTGAAGAAAAACTCCAATCCGGAGCGCAGTAGCTGAAAGTTGTGTGTCCAAGACAATCTGTCATATTTTCAACTGACAAAACAAAATGAAGACGCTGATATTTTTCCTACTAGATATGTCCACGTTGTATGAATTTCCTTCCAAAGTCTATTCCGCCATCTGTCTCTAGTGACTACTTCGGAATTCATCCTTTCCAGTTACTGAGCATTGTAAGCCACTTTCATGGTACTGTAGACAAACATTGGTCACATCTTTGCATGAATAGTGTATTGACTGATAAGGATGATATATATTGTTTCGACTTTTTGATTAATGAGGATTCTATGGCTAAATCTAGAGGATGAGAATAACGTATTCAGCTGAAATGTGTTGTGATACTGGAAAGTACTTAATTTGACTGAGCCAAAACGACATGCTGGTGAGTACGTGTCAGTAAACTTGTGGCTTTCTTAAACACTACGCATACTGAAATATAAAACACGCCTAAGACAGTGTGCACAGTCATCGTTTATCATACATCTAATATTGTGAATTTTGATGACTGCGGATTCTACCACTTGATAGTAAAGCTATCTAAGAAGTCGTTTGATTCCCGAATTGCTAGTGATAATAGAAGAGGAAACAGAAGAAGAAATTATGACTAAAAGCAAGGCAAACATACTTCGAGTTCTGGCTGCCAACTAGATCGCCAATTCACTACTGTCACCAAGGCTTATGAACTTTTAGGCGAATGAGAACTAGGAATTTTACCTCAAATAAATACGCATCACTTACACGCTTCTTCTAAGAATCGCTTCCTATCTTCAAAGGATGCATCCAATTTGCATGTCTTCACTGCGACAAGTAATGTGTCAAAATTAGCCTGAAAAAGAAGGAAGTGCCTTGTTTTTCCAATTTAAAACAACACCGCGTTTTGTCTTTTCAAAAGTACATTACCTTGGATACCTTAATGAGGCAACTAACAGCAAACAAGAGTAAAATATGTATAAAAAGTCGGTTGATATACGATACCTGAATGTGAACAGGAAGTGTATATATACACACACACACATCTTGTGTTTTTGGAAGTAACTCTACATAAGATGTCAGGCCAACTTTTGTAGTAATTGACACTTGTTAACACAATTTATTCGCAGTCTTGTTGGCATCCATCTTTCCTGTTAGTTTAAAACCATTGAACACAGCAACAAAGTCAAGGACATAAATGTGGAGACTATTAAAGCTGGAAGAAAAACTTGTTTGGTGTTGACGAGCACCAACAAAACACAGCTTAATTCTAGTGCTTCCTGCCAACTGATTCTCATAATATGACTTCAAAACCGTTGATTTATACTTTAATATATAGTCATCTGATATTCATCTGGATAACTTCTTATTTACAGTAATAAGAGCCAGTTTTAATCCTCTGAATGACTACAATTGTAAAAAGACACTCAAAGCACGATGAACTCAAAGGTGACAAAATCATATGGAGATTTAATAAGAATTAAAATTAATTATCATCAATTTCTTTTGTAAACTGCATGTTGCTTCTAGGATGCCATCTTCTAAACAAAAAATGATGTCTCCATAACATTTGAATTTGACCGCTGTCTTACCTATCGTCTTCATATTATTGTAAGCAAACGTTTTAGTGACGTTTCACTGGCATCTGCCGGTGCTGGAAAATTCAAAAAATGTCTGAAAACCTACCCTATTGGTAACACTTTCTGTCAGTCTATCTGAAGCCCCAAGCCAAGTAAATCAAAACAACTTGTCATCTGACAAATCTCTGTTTATGTAAGTTTCATGTACTACCATAATGTAGCAACCGCTAAAGTTGAGAGTAGAACTGAATTCATGAAATGTTCCGAGTTCTCCGTTCAACTTTCAACAAATAAATATTATGTAACACAAAAAGGAATGAAATATTTATCCACTCTGAAGTAAAAATAAACATTCTGTGGAAAAGTTCACTTACTTTTCTACGATATGATCCCTTGTAAACATCTCCAAATTGTCCTTCACCAAGAACTTTATCAAGTGTCACTAAATTTCTGTTCACCTCGAATTCTTTGTGAATTAAGAGGAAAGGAAAGGTGAGAAATAAAATGTTACTAACTACTGTCAAATTAAATAGAAGTTTGTCATTGTGGACGTTTCCAGAGTTCTGTTTCGTTTGTTGACAATCTGATATTAGTTAAAAATGAAATTAGTCACCATCCACCAATTTACTCAGTAGCTTGCGAAAGAAGCAGTTACCGCTTTAATTTTTTTTTAATTCTTCGCGTTCACATGTGAACACAGGGCTTCAAGCATGATATGTATCCACATGATGTGTGTTTTGTTTTTGACAGTCTACTATATTTTGCTATGTGTATATGGATCGATATTCCATTATAACTGACATTATGCTTTTGTCTGTCCACTAACTAAATAAACAATGTATAGCCTTGTTATCTCATGACATTACAACCAATCATGGTAAGACGTTATCTTATGGGTTCATGTGTATTAGCCATTTTCATATATACTTTTGTATTAGACACTTGTTTATTCTTGTACACACGCACACACACACATTTTCGTACACTCGTACCATTTCACTCACACTCTTGTGTGACATTTATTTTCCTTGTCTAGAAAATACGGGTATCATCGTAAACCTGGTGGTCTTCTGATTTCCCTCTTTCCACGTCAGGACTATTGACTACTCGACGAGTACATCACATAATTGGCAACGGGGAAAATTCTAATAACTCACTCAGCAGCAGTACATAACAAAGCTAGAGGCTTGAAGTTTCTGAAGCAGTGTTTACTTTTACAGGATGGGGTTGCTAGCCTCATGTTCAAACTTTCCTCTTTGCCAACTTTTTTATTTCTTGCTTAGCGAGGTAAAGAAGTGCGTCGGTCGGGTGTCGGACCCCAGACTACATGCATGGTCGGTGAGCGTCCTAATCGCTGTGCTACCGACTCACATACCGCTTTTATGTGGTTGAAATGAAGTAACTATTACAAAACTATAATCGTCGATCATCTGTTTTACTTTCTGTCATTCTGCTTTTCACAGTATCAATAAATCAGAAGTTGGGGATATACTTGAAAGTTTGACGCTAATATGGACCACACGATGCACCATCAGGGGTGCTAGCGAATGCAACCTAAGGAATAATTCCAACCACTACTCAGGACCTATTCCGAAAGATTAAATAAATTTTGAAAAACAACTTTAAGTGATCTGGGATTAGTGTTCATTGTCAATTTCGAACGCAAAAACAGCAGACTACTATTTTCAAACAATGTTTTGTATTATAGGAGTTCGCAAATGACAGTGCTACCGGGAGTAAGTTCAAGAATGTAAAACCAGTAGCAGGTAATTTAAAACAATGTCTTACGAACAGTAGTTAAAATGTTTGATAGATGAGATTTAATAAACTTTGTCAGTTCTAGCTTAAGCGTTATAACTTGAACTACTCCACACTATCCACTGTGTTTTGTAAACAAAGAGCAGACTAATTATATTTTCCTATGTCAAGTTATGTTACTGCGTAAAGTGTACGCCCTAGAAACATGTCAGATGTTAAGCGAAATCAGTCAGATAACATAAATTCACACTTCCAAAATGCAGTAGAAAGCGAACTTTTAAATTTTCCCTGAAAAACAATGCAATAATTTGCATCTACAGAATTTTGTTCCCAATACTATCTCTCAAAAGTACAATTCATCCACGAGTTATAATATATACTGAGTTTCTGTAGAACATAATAAAATTGTGTAGAAATTTAATTAGATGGATAGTTTCTTCAATTTTACAGTAACTTGATTAGTAAATGTATCATATTGGTAAATGACAGACTCTTCCTGTCCAATTTCAGTATTCATTAGATGTCTATAGACTATCGTGTTTCTTTCTGTAACAATAAATACCCTTACAATCAACTGAGAGTGACAGGAAATTGCTGAGACTTTAAATAAATTGAAGTAAATCCTAACTTTGCTAGTATTGTTCAACTATTTGAAACAAGTAGTAATCTTAATTCTGCTCCTAAATTGTCTAGATGTAGAAAAAAGTGGCTTGTAGGAGAATTGTAATCAGAATAATTTTTTCTCAGTAATTCAGGATATTGGCTATGTAGCTCCACAGAGTTGCCACAGTAGGCAGGCAGGCATATTTCACCTTCATTCTAAAAGGTAAGTCAAAAAGTAGAATGGTTGATAAAACTGAAAACAACTGGATCTCTTCTCCAAGTTAAAAAGAAAAAAATAAGTATTACTCTATTGTGCGTTGGTGACACACCAGTAGAATGCTCACCGACCATGCATGTGGTTCGGGGTTCGATACCCGACCGACGTATTCCTTTACCTCGCTTAGCCAGATATAAAGCTGGTAAAGAGGAAAGTTTGGGCATGAGGCTATCAGCCCCATCCTGTAAAAATAAACACTGCTTCAGAAACTTCAAGTCTCTAGCTTGAAGCTCTATGTTCCACTGGGAACGTGAAGAAATATAAAAAAATCATTTTATTATTGGTTCATATTCATTCCCGTTTTTACACCCTAACAACAGCGAATAGTCTTCATTCTGAATTGCTATTACCTATGAAATAAGCTTTCAAATATTAAATGCTGGTTTCAGATTTCCCCATATTTATGGAACTCATCTGCGCTATCTGATTCAGAATGACATCACACAATTTTAAGGCCATAGAGCCTACTACAAAAGACATAACTGGATAGGTAACCGTTCGGTGATCATTTCGCTTAATGATTTATATCTCTGCTTTATTTATATAAATCACAAGCTGTGCCCAACTTAGTTAAAAGATGGCTTAGAGGTAGAGACTTCCTGTCTTCTGTTTGTACTAACATGGTGCCCACTGTTCTCAGTTGTCGGAAGCTATTCACGTTATCCACCAGTGCTTGCTAGTCACATCCAAATCACCTAAACAGAGAAATGCAATTTCATTTGTCTTTTCTTTTCAATAGTGAGGTATCAGGGATTACTGCTCACTATCAAAATATAACTGATCAAACCAATGGTATGAACCATTTTTCAAAGTAAATAAAAAAGACAGCTTTTTTCCAATAGGTTAAGTCACTCCTGACAATAATGATACTTGGTTTCATAAAAAAACTAAATGATAATTGAAGTGAAAAAGAGCTATCAACCTGTCATGAGATAGAAAGTTTCACTACACTGCTTTACTGAAGATAGAGTAGAAGATATCTCCAGTTATCAATCATTTTAATCTGTCTTTCAGCGTTCAGCATAAATCACCAGATTTATGGACATTTGATTGTTATGATACTGTGAGGTGACCTATTAATCAAGCACAAATGTAAACAATGTTTCCTAAATGCATGAAAGTAATTAACTAAGTTGATCTCCATTTTTTGACGAAACACTTTATCTATCCTGAAGCAGTTTACCGGAATAATGAACAGTTTCGCATAGAAAATGAATGTGCGTTCTAAGGACTACACTAGTTGACACCAAGAAGATAATATGATTATTGACGCTTGATTGGTCTTCAGTACCTTTAAAAATAATGGTGATAAATGATCTAGAAATCGGAAATCAGGTTCACCGTAGAAATGTCAGAAAAATATGTGCTTTGAAGGGATGGTAGGAAAACACAAACTGAGGTATTCCATTTGCTAGCATTTGCTAACAATACAAGAAATTCGATCACCACAGGTATTTGATGCTATCAAGACGAGTAGTATTCGAGTTTAAATTTCTGTATTGGTTGTTAATGATTACAACGAAATCGTACGAACACTTATATATAGCCTACATAATCAGTCCTTGAGACTGAGTGAAGATACTGTCTCTGTGTGCAGGGAAGGTGACTGGGATCACATAAACTGGGCTGCAGACATCCGAAGGCGATCGCCTCAGATTTGGAATACTGTTATCCATATTAGTGTCAAATATTTGCATTGAACATTTTTATATGAAATTAATAAGCCTGGTGACAATGAAATCGGGGAAAATTCCCACTGGCTAAAACTGCATCCTCTGATACAAAAGACTGAAGAGTGAGGCAACGACTATCATTCAGCTTAAGATGTTTTTTTAAATAGTTCATATTAAGACCGTCTAAATGAGAATATATAAAGAAAAGAGTATTTTGAGATCTATAAATAATTATCAGTGAACACCATGCTAATTTGTAACTTCTTATTTTTTCTTAAGTGTTGCTTAACCAACAAAAATATTCATACCATACCACTCAGTGTTGTTTTTCAAAGTACAATGAAATCGGCAAACACAATTTATATTTACAGGATTTCATCATGAGCTGACATTGGTTAGAGAACCATCGGAAAACCTGCAGGGAGTACTGAACAGCTATTCATACCTTCCTGGTTAGGGACTCTTCAGAAGTACGCAACCACCACCAGGGGCCCAACCCAGGACCTTCTGGTTACAAGGCCAGCGAGCTCGTAGACCATTTAGCCACTGTGACCCGATCCAATGGCCCACAAATTCTAACTTCTGCCAATTCACGACATAGCGTGACCCCTAGCAAATGTCTTCGGCGAGTATTTGTCCTCACACCCAACCTGCTGCACCCTACCGGTCACGACTTCTCACTTCTCACCTACCTGAATAGGGCAAATCGCTAGTGAGCATCTCACTGATATTCAAGTGTTGGGTTGTAGGAATATGATTGGTCTACAGGATTTCATCATGAGCTGACATGATGAAATCCTGAAAACCAGTCAAATCCCTACAGCCCAACACATGGATACAATTTATATTTGTCTGTGAACTGGTAATCGCTAATCGATCATGAGAATAGGTTAAATTGCAGGAGAGCAGTTGTATATATTTTGATTTGTTTTATATGTGTGACTGGAGTTAAACAAGACTTAATTTTACCACTGAGGTGTGCAACTCGGAAATAAATAATCCGATTGCCAACGGAATCCCCAGGTATTTTGGCTATCAGTGAATACCAGATTGAAACTGTCCAGTGTCTATACATGTAGCTACAGGATCACTCTATGTTACTTCGCTTTTCTTCCTTGCTTTAATAAGCTAATTTATAATTCCTCAAGGATGTCA